GGAGACTCGCTTGAGCCCAGGAGTTGGAGGTTGCTATAAGCTGTGATGCCATGGCACTCTACCCAGGGGGATAGCTTGAGGCTCCGTCTCAAAAAAAAACAAACAAAAAAGAAATAACAATTGTTGAACATCTTGTGCCCCAAATCACCAAGGAATTACACAGCACAATTAAAAAGGGGAAAAAAATAAAACACGGACTCACCAGAAAAATCTATTATCAGTTGTCTGTTCTTGCATACTACGATGTGCATTAAGACTCAGATCTAAACTGATGCCAGAAGCAGACCATGCAAAATAAAAGTTTCCTGAATTCAAAACTTTTCGCACTTCTGAAATGCGATCTTCATCTGAAGAATCAATTCGGAGAGATATAAACTCAGTGGAAGTAACACGGAACACTTCAGATTCTTGAATTTTTCCAACAGACATACATCCCGTGACAAGAACCAGATAATGTAACATAGTATCACCTGTAAAAACCAGATATGTCATTGCATGAAAAAATCCCAACATTTTCCAAACCATTTAGTTTCTTCTTTTTTCTTATACCTCTATCTTTTAAATCTGACATTGTGATTATTTTAAAGCTATCACCGACATGTTCAACCTCACAACTAAATTTTTTTAAGCTGAAAAAATCCTTCCTTAAGTATGTTACACATAATAAAGCATTTAGACATTAACAGGATAATCCTATACTTATGAAATTGTTCCTTTACTTAATCTGAAGCTATAAAAAAATTATCAAATGAAAAAATGTGTTACATTCTCTACCTTCTCCTTATAGGGAAATTCAGATAAGACAATGAATGTAAAAGTGCTTTGTACAATTGAAAAAATGGTATATTAATGTGACCTGATAATTTTGATGACATATGGACAAAAGTCCTTGGTAATAATTTATAAAGCAATTTGATTTGCAAAACTTTCATAGAGATTTTTTACTTCTAATTGTGATTTAAAAAACCCTACGAAATCAGTAAGAACTTGAAATTCAGCAGGTGTACTTTGAGCCTGTGCTTTGACATTGAAAAGTGGCCTTGAATCTTGGCTCCCCTATTTATTATCTGGACCAACTTCAGCATGTAGCATAACCAACCTGGGATATGATCCTTTCTGAAAAAGAATTAAAACAAATACCTCACTAGGTATCTCTAGGATCACCTAAGATTAATTAGTAAAGCACCTAGGCGTTTTACATGTGACAGATTTGTAAAAAATGACAAATTTCCATTTTATATACCAGTGCTATTCAAAGTATGGTCCATGAACTGTTATCAGCTCACAATGAGAAAAGGTGGTATACCAGAATGCAAATTAATTACATCACTAAATTTACCTTTTAGTTCAGCTAACCTTTTTTCTCATGGTAAGACTTTATCAGTGAAGGAAGCCGTATGTTGATAGGCATGATGGTGCAAGTTCCTTATATCATCACAGACCAATAACAAAATAATTCACTGACAGTACCAGTCTTTGGGCCACACTTTGAGTCGCACCATTACAGGCAAACTAGTCATCACAAAGGCAACTCTGTAGCCCATGGTGACATTAAGTGGCAGAGACAGGCTCGAGCTGAGACCTTTTAAATCCAAAAGAGATATCTCTTTCACTGTAAACCCAGAAAAATCAATGTTTCTCATAAGACACCTTTTCCTAAATGTATTGAAGGAAAGACAAAGAGAAATGCTCTTTTTCCTTTTTGATAGTTGATAGCCGTCTCCTAAAGTGTTCAAACCAAAGACTATCTCTGGAAGTTAAAAATAACAAGAGCCTAAGCATGTGGCATGACTTTTGGTGCAATAAACCTTATAACAAAATGAGCTAAATTAAAGTTTAAAATACATTACCACATTAAGAGCTTAAATATGGAGTTTGAAGTAATACATGGGTAGAATTATAAAAGGAGAAAATAAAAAAAGGATCAATTATATTGAACAATAAACTTACCAAGATTTAATCGTAAAACACCTAGTAGTCCATATGCATCCAGTACTTTGGAGTATGTACCCTTGATTGCCTCTTTTTCTGCAGATGCTACAAAAAAAGTTCTAGGTTAAGAAAAATAACCTGAAATATCAGATTCTATTTAGCTACAAAGCCAGAGTTTCAACCAAAAATATCTAAATCTGATATTTTTAAAACCCTGTTATTGACATAAATGTATAAAGTATTTTCTCAAATTACTCTTCCCAAAGAGTTAACACATTATTTCAGAACCATCCATTAATTAACCCATCTTCTCCCACTGATGTGAAATTTATCTTA